CCCCCCCCCCCCGCCCCCGCACGCCCCCGGGCACGAAGTTCGCGGGACAACCGGGGCTCCGCCGGGGCGGCGGCGGCGCCTACCCCGCCCGCCGCGCCGCCCCCGGCCCACCGGGACCCCTGCGGGGGCGGCCGCGCAGCCTTCCCGGGCTGAGGGAGAGAGGGAGACGCGGAGCCGCTCCCAGCACAACGGGTCCTCCCCGGACACCCCCGCGCCGCCGCTGCGGGCCCCGGTGAGGAGCTGAGGGGAAGAAACCCCCGCGGCGGCCCCACAACGCGGGGAGCGGCCAGAGGCGGCCAAACAGGCGCGGCGCCAGGCAAAAGGGCAACGCGGGACTTACTCTCTGTCGCACTCGATCCTCCCGCGGGCTCCTGGAAGTCTCCGCCGCCGGCCCCGCCGCCCGCCGCTTTCTAACTCCGCGCGCTCCCCGCTCGCCGCCCCCCCGTCACGTGACATGCCGCGCCTCGGTTTTTCCCTGCCCTCCGCAAGGAGAAGGCAGCAAGTTCCCCCGTTCCGTGCCCCCAAAAAAGAAACCCCGGCGTATCCACCGTCCTTCAAATAAGCGACGTCCCCGCGGGCGGGCCCCGCCCCAGGGCGGCGGCCGCAGTCGAGCCTTGGCGATCCGGGCCCGGTTCCCGGTAGGGTGGGGGGAGGGGAAGGCGGAGGCGAACGGCTGCGAGCGGTCACGTGACCTATGGGCTCCCGCAAGATGGCGGCTGCCGGCGAGAACTCGGCGGCGCGGCGGAGCTCTCGCGAGATCTCGCGTTTCTCGCTGCATCACGGGGCGGGGGGGGGAGGCGCCGTGCGCGCGCCCCCGCCTGAGGCGGCGTTGGCGGGAGCGGCCGCGGAGCGGCGGGACCGGGCCGGGCGTGGGGCTCGGCCCCGGGGGCTTCGGCCTGAGGGGCACCGGTGTCATCTGAGCTCATCCCCGCCCGTGCTCCCGCTGGTGAACGCGTCTCACTCCAGGCGGCCCCCTGGTCCCGTCCCGTTCCTCCGTTGTTGGCGGCTCCGTGCACCCCGGTGCGGCCGGTGCCACCCCGCCCTGAGGCGCCGCCACCTCATGCCCCTCACGGCGCCGCGGCTCTGCAGAGCTCCTGCACAGGAGCTCCTCCCGGAGAACGCGGGGGACATCCCTGCTGCCCTGCCGGGAATGCCCAGGGGATGTGCTGGCGGATGAGTTTTCCCTTGCGAATGTTGTACAAGCTGCTAACGTGAAACTTGCTGCTGTAAAGAGTGAGTTAAAATCTGGAGACCACTCATGCTAGTTTCACATTTGGAGATTTTTTTTTAGCGCTGGCGACCTCCAGACTGAGAAGCCTTGGTAAAAGAGACAATCTTCCAATAAATGCTTTCCCAGTTGTGTAAGAACATGAAAATTTGTAAGAACTTTCACACAGAATTGAGCCAGACATAACTGAAGTGTGAGCAATCATGAAATTCCTTCAAATGATCAGTACTACTCATTCAATCTTGTGAAAGTTTGCTTATTTTATCATTAGACAAATTTAACAGGGATTAATATAACCAATAAAGGATTAGACAGATTAAGGCTAAACTATTTAAAGACAAAGCAACGTTAATTAAACAGATTTAAGTAATTCAGATTAATCAGTGATGCTTCAGACAGAGAAAAAGACGACAGAAGTGAGGCCAGAGACCAGAAGAACAATTTAAATGGCAGCTTTTATCTTGGTTATTGTCCTCTGCACACTTCAGATGAAGGCACGATGAAATACAGCTCACACACGCTGAATCGAACTTCAAATCTCAGCAGCTCTGTGCAATCGTGACAAGAAAGGGAGGGTTTTGATGGCTTGAGTTGAAAAGGGAGTTACCTGTCAGCGTTTGTGATCATCCTCGACTGCAATAGGTGAGTAATCCCGCTGGTGGAAATGCTGCTTTCCACTGGCGTGGAATTAGCACAGGCACATTTGTCGGCAGGACTCTGTTTCCATAGAATTTTGGCATGTAATTCACGGATCTCACTGCATTTTCTAGTCAGAGATTTTTTTTTTTTTTTATGTCATTGGTAGATACAATTCTGAAGGTAATTATATTTTATAATCTCTGAAATGCAGTTAGCACCTACTGGCATTTTACTCTATGACTTTATAAAATGATATTGCTTAATGTAATACTCAGCAGTTACCCTCAGGGATTGTTTTTACTTGATTTCTAGTGGCTGAAGCACAAATTGTAGGGATTTCATCTTGTGAACGAGAAATTTGTGTAAATGCTGTCATTTATTTTGCAAATTGCAAATATGACAGGTGCTTTGTGAGAACTTGCTCTCAGGTGGGAATATTTAACAAGCCTCTCCTTGGTATATTGGACAGAAAATTAAACTACGAATTCAAAGATAAAATAATTTTTTTTTTTAACTGGATGAAGTGTTCATCTATACCCAAGAGATTTACCTTGACGATTTTCTTCCCTTTCTGAACAAATCAACGCCTCGCTCGCTCTCCCTTCCCTTCCCCCACAAAACAATTTCACATTTCCGCAGTAAAACGTGGTGCTCCCGGCAGCTGCTCATGCGGCACTACGGGCGAGAATATTTAGGTCAGTGGGTTTTAGCGCTGCTTCCAGCGGGAGGGAGCCGCGCTGCTCCCTCTGGATTCCGGGAGCCGGCAGCGCTCTCTCCATGTGCTGCTGCGCGTCCCGACTCACAGCGACCGGCCGCGCTCCTTTGGGCCGCAGCTTTTAGCGTTTTAACTTCTCCTCGTCTCTGGCTTTTGGCTGAGGGGTGATGCCAACATGTTTTGCTAATTCACAGTGTGATCCCAGCGCGCCGGGAGCAGCGGCCACTCGGAGATGACGTTGTTTTCTTTGTTGCTCTGGGGAAGAGAATTCCTTGGCTTCCTTTGCCCTCTACTGGTGGCCCGCACGGCTTCGATGCCAACTCACTTCCTTTGCTAAATATACATATATAAAATAATTATTTAAAATATACAACCCCCAACAGCTGAGCGAAACCACAGTTGAGGGCGTTTCCAGAGCTTTCCCAAGACATTAGGAAGAGTGCTCCCTATTACTGCAAGAAGGAAATCATCTTAGTAATTTATGAAGATTTTTTTTTCCAGCTGCAATAAGTACAGTGCAAACTGGGGTGGAAAAATCAGAGCAGTGTCTGCTCTGGTGCTTTTGCAGAGAGCTTGCAGTACCTGCCTTGATGGAAGAACACCATGGACATGGATGTTCATGGACGTGATGCCCAGAGGATGTCAGCTGGCTGCAGCTTTGAGTTTACAGTAAAACACCCAGTGTGTTTTGCTTGCCTCTCTAAAATTCATGTGCCTGGTGATCGAAGACCCAGATGTAACAAATGTCAGTGCCACGCAGAGCTTGTTCTGCCTTCTCCCAAAGTGCCTGAATGCAGAGATATCACAAGAAGAGGAGGGGGTGGCCTGGAATGCTGTGCTGCCTTCTGGGGCTCCTCTGCAGTCACACTGAATTCCTGTCCTGTGAGCTGCATGACAGCTTAGAAAGGACGAGGCCCCAAGTTCTTGCTTAAGATGAGAAGGGTTTTTTCCTGTTCTTAAGGGAAAGGATGGTTTTCAGCTGTATCACTGACTGGCTGTTTATGTCACTGTGGGAATGCCCGAGAGACAAGAGGCAGCCTGTGGCTGTAGATAAGCCCTGGCTGGGAAGCCACCCCTGTGGTGATAGCGCTTGGGCCAGCACAAGTGCCACCACCCCTGAGCACACTCAGGTAGCCTTGCTGCAGGAGGGTAACACAGATAGGAAACAGGAGTCATGCACGGTGCTCAATGTAAGTGTTCTGCTTATCATGGAGCACCAAAGTCCTGACTTCCACCATGGCATCCACTTGGCATCCATCCAGATCCCTGATCCATGCACGCTTTGCCTCATTGCTGTGTTACTCTTTGCCATTTTACTTTCTGATTTCAAAGTGTATGTGCTAGTCCTTTTGGCAGCTTCTGACCGGGGAATCGATGCTGAAGGCAGTTCCAGCTCTCCTGGTGATAATGACGGCTCTGTCATTTGGCTTTGTAATATTTTAGCTGCCCTCGTTATGGAATGAGGATTTACATAACGTCTTTGATGCTTTAGTGCAATACTGGAGTATTACCTGCTCTCCAGACAAGCTTGGAAGATGGAACTAATAGACTTAAACTTCAACCAGGGAGATCCAAGCTAAGCATTGCATAAAGCAGCCTAATAATTTCAGAGAGCACAGTTTTACAATCCCGCCAGGATTAAGGGTTCCCCAAATCCCCGCTGCGAGGTGGCGGGGGCCGTGTGCCCTGCGGAGAGGTGCAGGAGGAGGCCGCGGGAGGTGCCGGTGCCCCGGCAGAGCGGGCGGGGCGGGGCGGGGGCACCGCGGGCACCGGAGGGTCCCGCTCCCGCGCGCTCCCACCCACGTGGCGCGGCCTGGCCACGGGAGGGGCATGCCCGACCAGACCGCCAATCAGAGCGCTGCTTGTCCTCGGCACGGACCAATCAGCGCCCAGCAAACACACATTTAAACCCTGTTCCCGGGAGCCGCAGCCACCGGGGTATGACAAGGGGGGGCGGGTTATGGCCGCTTGCGCCAATCAGAGGCCTAAGCGCGATGATTGGCAGGAGGTTAAACCAATGGGGTTGCCAAGGGTAACGCGGCGTCTCCCTGCGGAGCGGTTGGCGGCGGCGGGGACTCCGCGGGGACAGTCGGGGCCGCCCGGCGCGGGGGCTCGGGGGCGCGGGGCCGCCGCCGCCACCGCCATGGCTGGAGGTGCGCGGGGCGGAGCGGGCACGAGCGGAGCGGGGCCGGGGCGCGGCGGGCCGGCGGGGCTGGGCCCGCGAGGCGCGGGGCATCTCCCCGGCACGGAAGCTCCTCCTGGGAGGTGCGGGGAGCCGGGGCCGGCGGGACTCCTCCCCCGCGCGGTGTGCGCAGCTCGCCGGGAAGGGGCTGGGCCGCCGCGGCTCGCCCTGCCGCATCCAGCCCTTTAAACATGGCGCAGGCCGCGGCGGCCGGGCGATGACCGCGGGCGGCAGCGCCGGACATGGCTCAGGCGCCGATCTTCCCCCGTTGCTCCTAGGGAAGAACATGCCCAAGACCAGGGCGGGCGGCGTGGAGAAGGCAAGCCCCGAGAGCGCCGAGAGGAAGGGCCCTAGCCGCCCCCGGGCCGGCGGGGTAAGCAGTGCCCGGGCCTGGGCGGGGAGCGGGGCGGGCGGCTCCCGGGGGTCTCCGGTGCTCTCCGCTTTTCCCCGGTGCGGGCGAGCCGGTGTGCGGGCTGTCCCGGGGAGCCGCGGGGCCCGGGCCTTCGGGAGCCCCTCAAATCATTCAGAAATCGGTTAAGTTTAACTACAGTCGGACTCTTTCCGTTTCCC